GCCAGTCAAGAAAAAAAATATATTTTCTTTAAAAAAGCAGTAGTGTACCATTTATGTTAAGCAAAATATCGATTTTTTTTTTATTTTTAACACCCTGTAGATCAGAAAGGAAGTACTTTAGACCCAATGGTTATATAAAAATTGTTTTAAGAACACATGCCGAATCACACCACAATTTTTTAGACTAATTAGAAAACACCCTGTATATTGTCAACTTGACAATGATTGTTGATAAATCAAAAAATACCTTTTCTGTGAAAAAAGCCCGATTTTCGCAGGAAAAATTTTGGTTTTTATTGAATTTGGACCTGCGTCTGCAAATACCGGTATGTTTTTTAATATTCTATCTATCTAAATTTTAAATGTCATAGTCAGAAATAGTTTTATTATTTATTAACTGTAAAAATGGTATACTTATAAGTTTTATCAAATATTGTGATTTACTTTCTACCTTGTAATCAAAATTTATATTTAATAAACTGTAAAATATATATATTCTTATGTTTTATTAAAGTTACTCTGATATTAATATATCAGTGTAACTTTAAAACTAAATCCTTTGAAATCAAATATAAACATAAAAAATATTTACACCAGAAAAGGCGAAGGCGCTGGGTTAAACGTAGTCTCTACTAAGAACACGGAGGGGCGCTTTGACCCAAAATTTTACTATTAAGTTTCATATCTATCTTAATAGAAGATTATTTTCTTTTATCTATGGCCAGACACTGCCTTCTAGCTGTGCTTCTAGCCAGTGATATTCTACTCAACATGTCATTTCATATCTTCCATCTCATTCGACTTTTATTCGGATCTATTGATTTAATCAACTTTGACAACTAACTAGTGTCATGCTAGTGTCACCTGAAACAAAGTTTACAGAGTTCTATCCTGAAATTAGTAAAAATATACTTTTTCTGCGACTAGCCTAGAAAATGCAGTTTGCAACACGGAAAACTCGATCTGAAATTGGCGTTTTGCAAACTGTTGTGTGCTTTAGGAAGGAGCATATCAAAAATCTTAGGTACACCGCGATGGGCCTCAAATATGGCCGACTTAAATTCCAGTTTATCAGTGCTGTTCTAATTTTATTTAAAAAATGTAAAACTATGATGTAGGGTAAACGTGGGGTAGACTCAATAATTTGTTATTTTATTTTACGTTGTGAATAAATGTTGGTAGTTATTAAAATTGTTATAAAAATATATAATTCTAATAAAAATAGATAAGTTATAATAAGTATTTATTAACACAAACATCAGATACGCTACTGAAGCAGGTAAGTCAAATTAACGTATCAAAATTCATTGACATCCTTATTCAAAGTTGACATCTGATCTTTGACAAGTAGTAAATAAAAGCTAAAATGCAGGAAAAATATATAATTTAGTTAATTTAAGTGAATTTCATAAATGATCTTACCACACGTGGTTTACCACACGTATGTATATTATATAGTCTAGACCTAGCTAGGCATATTCTTTGGTCTAGACTTACTAGCGAAAAGTTGTTCCATTATTTCACTCAATTTTTGCCGAGATCTACCGCACGCTACACAACCAACTATTTTAGAGTCTTTTTCGATAAATCACTGTTAATTTAAGTTCTGCCACAATTTCCATCTAGATTTACTACCTTTATACAATTATCAGTAGTAGAATAAATAATAAATAACATAAAATAAGCTTCGTAAAGACTGACCACAGACTGACAAATCCACAAAATTTCAAATTAAATTCAAATGTGTCAAATGAATCGTCAAACAGAACTGTCAAGGATCCCCACCCTAGAGAACTTTTTCCGCCCACCATGCATGAATACATGGATAGCATTATGCTCCTTCCTTAGTCTTCTTATTCAAAGGTTGTGTGCTAAGCAAAGGTCTTTGGCAAAGGTGCTAAGAATTTAGCGCACGACATATGTCATTTTGCACACGACATATGCCAATTTTAACATTTTTAACCTCTAATGTTGCCGTCAGAAAAGTGTCATCATTACATCGCAAATTATTTCACAAAACTAGCAAGAACATGGCAAAAACTGAGTGAGTCTGCTGCTAATTAGTAGTCGTGGAAAAAATAGTTAAAAAAACTCGTTCGAAAACTTCGACTTGTGGTCATCTGTCGAATTCGTGTGCAAAACGTCGTTTTCGAAACTCGTTGTTTAATATACTATTTTGTGCCTCTCCACAAAAATTGTATAATTTTTACTCGTAATAAAACAATATTGTGTTTTATTTCAAAACTATACATTTTACTCTACTTGTTTAATCGGACTTGCACACATTTTTATTATTTTATTCGTTCTAGTGTAGATTTACGAATTATTGCTTTATATCCAAAATCAACAACGGTTTTGTTATTTATTTTGCAAAAGAATATTTCGTTTGTAAATATCACGTTTCTATAGACTTCAAAAACATACTCTTTTGCAAAAATTAAAATTGCTAAAGCGCGCGAATTTAATAGAGTTACACGATAATCCGATTATGGCGTTTTGCTTTTTATTTTCTCAGTTTAAAAATGATTTTTAAATTTGAAACAACCGCAAGTATCGATCTATGAAAACTGTAGACGATTGAAAAGTTTATTTTGTACTAGACTGTTTCTATAGTAATTAGACAAAAATGGTAAAAAATTAATCACTTATAATACATTAACATTTCTATTTTTATTTTTTACTGAATTAATATAAGCTTATATCGTCTTGGTTGCGCTAACCATATACAGGGTGTTTCAAAAAACATGTGCTATCTCTAGGGGGGAGATTCCTCAAGTAAAAATAAGATTTATTTTTCATATCAACATAGGTTCGATTCTGCTTTGTTTCGTAGCTACAGGGTGTTAGCTACAGGTGTAGCTACAAAGTCTTAATAATTTTTCGATTTAATATAATTTTCTTCCAAGTACTTTTAGTGATTCGAATGAAATTTTGAGGGTAAAAGTTACTATAAATGCGACATATTTTAAAGCTAAAAAAGTATCGACATATTCACCAGGGACGTGCATATGGGTTATCAATGAAATATTTTTTTAAAAAAAGCATGTACGCCACTGACTTTTTTTCTCTTGTTAGCGAAATAGTGTAAGCAGTTTAATGCCGATTAAAACTTGTCTCTTGATATTTTGTCGATTTGGGCCTCCTTGATGAGATAAACGCAATTTTATTAATTTGCCTTGATACAAGTTTTATAGCAACCCTTTAAAAATTTTAAAACCATTAACTTGCAAAAGTATTAAATAAGTAATCATTGATTCCTAATCAAAAAATATGTAAAAAAGGTCCTTTAAATATTAGTATGGAAATGCATAGTTTTAGAGTTACAGGATGTTAAAACTTTTTAAAATTAGTTTTTTTGTAATTATCTTAAATACCATTATTTTTTTTATTTGAAATTGCTGTATGTTGGACTAATAGTAATAATATTTAATAATAAATTAAGTAAATAATTTTGTTTTTGTTTTAATTTTATAATTGTAATTAATAAAATTGCGTTTATCTCATCAAGGAGGTTGAATTGGAATTGGGATCAAGAGATAACTTTTAATTGGCATTAAACGGCCTACACAATTTTCATATCAAAGGAAAAAAAGTCAGTGTCGCAGATGTTTTTTTCTTAAAAAATATTCCAGTGATAACCCATATGCACGTTCTTGATGAATTTATTGACACTTTTTTAGCATTAAAATATGTAACACTTATAGTAACTTTTACCCCCAAAATTTCATTCCAATCACTAAAGTACTTATGAGAAAATTATAATAAATCGAAAGATTATTAAGACTTTAACACCCTGTAGCTACGAAACAAAGCAGAATCGGACCTATGTTGATATGAAAAATAGTCGTGTATTATTTTTACGTGAGGAAATTCCCAACGAGAGATTGCACATGTTTTTTGAAATATCCTGTATAGAGTTATAACTCCCTTGGGACATTATTAACAGGAATTAAGATGGCATAATTCCCTCTATCTTTTATAATGAAATACAATAGAGATTTTAGGTAATACTAATTTATATTATATTTAATAATTATTATTATAAAATGAAAGTGGATACTCGTGTAACTACAATAGTTACATTTTATCTCTCCTCGTATATCATACAGATGGGGACTTCATTTTTTTTAGTTTAAAAGTATGATAAAAAGTCAAATAATGTATCTACAAATTGGTTAAAAAATCGTCAAAATCGACCCACTAGAACAGAATTTATTGAACTTTAAAATTGAACGAAAATTTTACGGTGTTATAAATATATGCTAATATATTAACGAATTATGAAAAAAAACCAATATTAATGTTGCTGCTGGAGTATCTGCAAAAAAACAATAATAATGTGGTTTTTAAGTGACATTACAAAAACAATACACACTATTAAATAGTGTTTATTGTTATCTGTGAAATTTTCATAGATGTGTTGATTAGGATAAAAAGCAATGTCATGCTTCTAAAGCTAAAATTGCTGTGAATCGTTAATGTCTTCTTCTAAAGCGAATATCTCCAACAAAAATAAGCTGTTGAGATAAATCACAAAACAAACTACCGAGAAAAGATACACCTTGATAATAAAGTAGTTTTTAAGCCACTTACTTTATTTAACTATCCCACAGGGCGTTTCAAACTTTTGCCAAAATAACAACATTTTGTTTCTGCTTGTATATCATACAGATGGGGGCATTATTTTTTTAGTATAAAAGTATGGTAAAAAGGAAGTATGGTAAAAAGTCAAATAATTTAGCTACAAATTGTTTAAATAATCGTCAAAATCCACCCACTAGAACAGAATTTATTGAACTTTAAAATACATGAAAATCTTGCGGTCTAATTAATATATGGTAATCATATATTAACGAATTATGAAAAGAATCAATATTAATGCTAATTTATTATTATCCATTGGTTATTCTTTGAATAACGATTGTTTACCCTATAATTTCCGCGGTTCTCTCCATTTATTTATGGTATTGACTCGCGGTTTTTGTTTGTACATGTTACAGATAATTGGGACTGGAATTCCAGGACGTTCTGCTGCCAGGAGGACGGGTGCAACGCGGCTGAGGGACTGTGGCATTGGCACATCCCTATTTTGCTATTTGCCATGCCATTTTTCCACCTGATGGCCAGAAGCCTGCACTGAGAAGAGAAAAAGGAGACAAAACAATTTTAAATCTCAAATTCTCGTTTTTTTTTAAACATTTCTTTCTTCCTTATTTCCAATTAAATCCTTTATTTCTCTAAAGGGACAGAAGAGAGAATTATGCGGCTTTAAGCCAGAGTAATAAGTAACCATAGAGGAGTTCTTAAACATTTTTTATATCACCCGATGTGATATCAACTCGCAGCAATTAAATAGTAATTTAATTTAGTTATTTTATTTCAGTAAGATTAAAAATTGTATAAATTATTGTTTGTGTAATAATGCTTTATTTCTTTATTTAAATTTAAATGTTTCAAAAAAAGCAGGGGGCGACATGTTTCGGGACTTTTCGGAGAGAAAGGTTTTCAAAAAAAGCAGGGGCGACATGTTTGCGACATTTCGGAGAGAAAGGCTTCCCTCTTGAAAAGTTATACAATTTATAATTACAATGAGAGAGATGTGTGAATGTTAACAACTCTAACTAATTTTATTTCTTCCCAGTGGTGGTACTTCCTAGGTTGACGTTTGTCTTTCTGGGCCTGATGATGGGAATTGTTTAAGTCCCGAAACATGTCGCCCCCTGCTTTTTTTGAAGCATTTAAATTTAAATAAACATCTTAAAGATTGTTAGTTATTTGTCCCCTTACCCGCCTTCAGAGGTTTTACTTTGAAAATATTTTTATGTTTGAGGACCTCTATGTTTTCATATATCTCTGAGACTTTAACCCAAAACGAAAAAATTAAAGCCCGAACACGCTTTAAAAATTATATTTTCATTCAATTTCCATTCTACGGATTTCCGTTTTGTTCTGTAAAGTAATTTGAAAGGTTTTGTTTTAAGATTTTATTTTATTTTTTTCCCTGCGGGATGTTTTTGACGGATTTTAATTAATGCTAGTGGCATAATTCAAGAAAATATTCGTAGGATATTTATCACAATAAAAATATTCTAAATCCATCTGTAACACGCAAAATAATAGTGTAGAAGTGTCTTCCTTTAATACACTCACCGGCACGATAAACGAGTACCTTAAAATTTTGATGTATTTTAAAATTTTATATATTGTATTCTAGTGGACCAATTTTGATAATTTTTTAAGCATTATTTGACTTTTTAGTATCTCTTTTTAAGTTAGAAATTAAAGTTTCTGTCAGTTATACGAAGGATCACAAAATATTGTTATTTAGGTCAAAGTTTGGAATACCCTATGGAATATGTTGGTTGTTGACTAGGACCAAAGTTGTAGGTCTGTTGACTAGGACCAAAAGGCAAAGGCATGGTTTTAACGTAAAAATTACAAAAAAATATTAGTGTCTTCTTCAAAGGCGAATAACAAAAATAAAGCTTTAGAGATGAAGTAATTAGAACTTTCGAGAAAGAATGTACCTACATAATAAAATAATTTTTAATGAAAATCCTGTTAACATGTTCCACAGGGTGTTTCAAACTCATAACTATACCTCACCAATATAATAATATTTTGTTTTCCCTCGTATAATTGACAGATGGGAACATTTATTTATAATTTAGAAAGAGATAGTAAAAAATCAAATATCTTATACTCTGTTTTTTCCTCAGGTAAGATTTCGACAGACGATGACAGAAAAAAAGCAGATGACGTCCCATACCAATGTATTTATTTTACTAAAAAAAGTTTCGAATAATTTTTAAGTTAACTATGGATGGGTTTAAATATAAATCCGTCATACGTCGTCTCTTGTTGTTTTTAACCAGTTTTATTGGTTTATTTCAAAAATGACAGATCGTATTTCAATTTTATTGGTTTGACGGAACGATGAACGACAAACGGACGCCGATGCGTATGAACTCGCCTTTAGTTTTGACGCTTGTCAAAGTCTTGCCAAATTAGAGCTTATAATTTTGTGTCAACTTTTGTCAGTTTTGTCAAATGCCCTGCGTTTTTGAAGATGATGCATTTTGATTCGTGTTATGACGTGTGTTTGGTGTCTTTTGAAGTCAAGTGAAGGAAAAATCGAGTGAAAATTAACTGTAGACCCAGACCCAGAGCACAGTTTATGGTTAATACTCGCTGCCCAGGCAAAAAGTCTTATACACCAATAAAGTTACCATCATTAAAGTTCGTATACCATCTCGTCGTAGATAAGTGCATCTCGAATATGGTAGAAGGAGCATACTAAACACATACTAAAAACTGGAGTAGTTGTAAAATATCGACATCACACGATACGTAAATAATGGATTTTAGTACTGCACAAGAAAAATAATGCCAAAGGTACTGGTTTAAAAAATTAAGATTAAAGTTAATTAATCAACCTTTAAGGTACCCATAAAATTTGGTAAGTGTTATTAATAATAAAATAGTTTGTTTTATTTATGTTGTTTTATTTATTCCTGCGGAATATTACAAATTTTTATTTGTACATAAGTTATATTGATAAATATAATCATAAATACGGGAAGCTTCATAAAGCTTGAAAGTGAGAAATAGTTCTTTTTTATATTTTTTTGGTATGTGGTGTCTTGTTCTTGTTTGTTTTGTATTAACACATACCTTTTTTTTTAAATTAAATAACTGAATATCATTTTTTCAGTTTTATACAGTTTTATTCACAATATTTTGAAGTAATCACTTGTCAGTCAAATTTTAAATATAATAATTTCCTGCTATGCGTTCCAGTTGTACCAACTTATTTCTTTGTAAAATAAAATAAACTACTTTGAAAATAAAATGACAGACACATCTATCACTGTCAAGGATCTTCTCGTTGGACAGACTATAGCTACCTATTGCTTAAAAAATCATCAAAATCGGCCCACTAGAACAAAATACAGGTTGTCCCAGAAATAAGTGCAAGTATTTTAACTGGTAGTATAGTTCAGCCTCAGAAACACGCCTATGAGGTTTTTTTCGCGAAAAAAAAATTTGAAAATTCGAAATTTTTTGAAAAATTTTTTGGATTTCTTTTTAGTTTTTAGTTTGCAAGAAAGAAAATCCAGAAAATATCCAGTGGTTCTCAAAATTTAAAAAAAATCATTTTTTTGGAAATTTTCAAAGTAAAATAAATCCGTTATTTTGGACTTATTTGAAAAACGATAAAGAGAAAATGTGTTTCTTTTATCGAGATCTACCACCCCTTAAAATACTTGCTCTTATTTCGGGGACACCCTGTATATAAAACTTTAAAATACATCAAAAATTTAAGGTGCCTGTTTTTCGTGCCGGTGAGTGTAGATAAAATATAAAATATATATTTTAGTTGTTTTAACCTAAACGCTTTAAGAACTATCATAAATCTTTTTTACATAAAAAAAATTAACACTATTTAAAGAAAGTTACACATTATTAGGAGTTAATTCAAAAACTACTCATTTTTGCAGGTATTTTTGAATAGAAATCACATAGCACACCCCCTGGCTCAAAATTATATTTAAATATAGTTTAAAACTTTAAGTATAAGCTAAGATAAATTCCAAATAGTTATGAACATAATTCATTTCATACATATAAGTATTCTAAAATTTGTAAAGGCAACGATTCCTATTAATGTACTACAGTATGATCGGAAATAAATATAATTAAGTGAGTTATAGAATATTATTTCACGTTAATGTTCTACTGTAATTTTCATATATTGATTCTATAATAGTATAAAATATTGGAGTTCTAGATATAAATATAGTATACAGGGTTGTTCACCACATACGACACGGAGTATTGTAGCTAAACGATGAGATTTTTACAAATTGTAAGTTTTGGGTTCGATGAAGGACTATTAGAGGTACAATTTAAAAATAATTTTACAAGATACAGAGTGTCCCAAATAAGTAAAAAATATCAAAATTGTATTTTTTTAAATGGAACACCCTGTATATTATTACATTTTTAGTTTCTACGATTAAAATAAAGGTAAATTTGATTAAGATTTATTATACTTAAACCTTACCGTTTTTGAAATATTTTCAATTTTGTGAAATTGCAGTAAAAATTTTAAGGCTTCATTTCTCCAAGAGTATCAAAGTTTTTAATACTAAATATTTACTGAAGTTTATTTACTGATCAGTTATTGTGTTGCAATAATAAAAATAATACTACCTTATACAGAGTGTCTAAAAATTTATTTTAAATAATTATTAGCTTCAAACGGCAATAACTTGTTTAATTTAAGTGGAACACCCTGTATATTTTACGAGAGTCAGATGCACAATTTAATTGTCTATGAAATTATATTATACCATTTTTTACCTATCTCTTTAAGTTTCCGTAGAAAATGCATTTTCTTGTAATTTAGAACTTATTTATCAATATACCCATGGACTATTGACATTTTATATTATTTTTAAAGATGTACCAAATTTTTAAAGAGTACAGATACTAATATTGTCGATATAATTCGTATATTATTTTATTAAAAAATAAAAAAAAACTGTTTAATATTTGTTAAAGAGGACCAATTAATATGATTCCAGTATTCAAACTACATTAACTGACTGTTTGCGTTGATTAATAATATGCTCCAAATACTAAAAAACTGAATTTTGAATGGGCATTAGACAGTGTGATAAAAAGTAACACCTTAAAAATGATATTTCATTTTTTAATAAATGCTTATTTATAACAACAGAGACTTTAATTTGATAACTTATTATTATATTGATTTCTGACTCAAATCCACATTTATTTATAATAATTTATTAACGAACACAATTAAGTATGTAATTAATTAGTATATGGGCGGAAATAATGGTGTTATATTTAATTAATGGTATACTCTTTTATAAAGATTTAAATAGTTTTCTTTTTGCATACAAATGGGCTAGTAATATTATCGTTTTGCTAAAAACGATAATATTACTAGTCTGTACATTTATTGTACATTTGTTGCTTTAAAAACAATCTAAAATGTCAATATTCCATGGATATATTGATAAATGAGGTCTAAATTATAAGAAAATGCATTTTCTACGAAAACTTGAAGGGATAGGTAAAAAATGGTATAATACAATTTGATAGACAATTTAATTGTGCATCTGATTCTCCTAAAATACACAGGGCATTCTATTTAAATTAAAGAAGTTATTGCCGTTTGAAGCTAATAATTATTTAAAATAAATTTTTAGACACTCTGTATAAGGTAGTATTATTTTTATTATTGCAACACCATAACTGATCAATAAATAAACTTCATTAAATATTTAGTATTAAAAACATTGTTACC